ATTCCTTCAGAATGAAACTCAATTCAATTCACATTTATTTGTATAGCGCCTTTTACTGTACATATAATTTCAAAGCAAGTTATAGAAAATGCATGTTTCTACTTTACAATTTAGAGTAATCTATTATCAGAGGTGACTGTGTCAAAGTATTGTCCATATGTCATAAATGTATAGTTCTTCTAAGACAATACAGTACTACCAAATGTCCAGAGTTTTGTAACCTAAAGAGCTTGATGGATTGTAGGGGGATAAAGATGCTGAAGGAGCTGAACCATTTAGGGCCTTATAGGTTAGTAGCGATACTTTGTTATCAATACAGAACTTAATAGGTCACCAGTGTAGAGATGATAAAATTGGGGTTATATGATCATATTTTCTTGATTAGAGCAGCAACATTTTGGACTACATGTGTATTGAGGATGCAGGGCAACCACCTAATGCATTACAGTAATCCAATAGAGGTCACGAATGCATGAACTTTTCTGCATCAGAAACCGATGTCATGTTCCATAGCTTAGCAATGTTTCGGAGGTGGAAGAAGGCTGTTTTTGTAACATGAAATATGATTTTCGAATGACAGGTTGCTGTTTAACACCTATAACTGTAGAGGATGAAGTAACAGTACATCCTTTTAAATACAAATTATATTCAAAGAGATTACGTGTACAGTTTTTTTGTTCCAATAAGTAATACCTCAGTCTTATCCGAATTTAATAGAAGAAAATTACTGGTCATCCAATATTTTATATCTTTAGCACATTCTGTCAACTTGGATAATTTGGAGTTTTCATCTGGTCGTGATGAAATATATAACTGAGTATCATCAGCATATCAGTGGAAAGTAATTCCATCTTTTCTAATAATATTACCAGCATGTGTGTCTATTTAAAAAAAAAAGTGATTGTGTTGAAAATAGCAGAGGGCCTAAAACAGACCCCTGTGGCACTCCATAATTTACTGATGTTTATTTTTACTGACTAACTTGGATAATTCCCCGTTTAAATAAACAAAATGGTAACGGAGACAATCTAAACCACCTTAATGCCTGTCCCTAAATACCAGTGTAATTTTGCAATCGATCTAATAGTATGTCGCAATCTATAGTGACGAACGCAGCACTAAGATCAAGAAAAACTAGTATTGAGATACAGCCTTGGACAGAAGCTAGAAGTCATTTGTAAATTTAACGAGCACACTTTCTGTGCTATGATAGGGCCTGAATCCTGACTGAAAATTTTCATAGCTATTATTTTTTTTGCAAGAAAGAGCACAATTGAGTCAGCGTTTAATATATAGATGTAGCCTATGTGTCATTCAAATACAGATGTTTTGACAAAATCCAACAAAATCATAAGTGAAAAGCAAACAGGCCTATCAGTAGCTGGGGACACATACAACATTTTAGGCTTTGTGCGGCAATGTTTTCCACTGCTAAAGCATACAGGAAGAGAATGCAGACAAAGAGGCATTTGGTCACTGTACCCACCAAGCTGTTTCCTCCCATTCAGGGGATACAGGAAAATTGCATTGTTCTCTAGGCAAGGCATGATGAAGTGATGTTGAAAAGATGGTTGCAATTGTATTAGCGGTTCTCAAAGCAGATAAAATACAGACATAAATTATATTTGTATGATTAAAGGACACTGGCTTAATGAATCCCTTTGCTAAAATTAAATGATAAAATTAAAAGTGCACATTGTGTAACAAGGCACGTTGAACATAACCCTGGGCTTCATTTCTCAAAAGCACCGTGAGCTAAGTTGATCGTAGAGGCCATTGATGGTGATGATTCTACGATCTACTTAGGCTTAGGCTACAATGCTTTTGGTATATGCAGCCCTAGTCTTTCCCCAGATGCAATTCTTCAACAGGATGTCAGGAACTTTCCTCAGGCCATCCCTTCCTCTTTCATTCTGAATGACTGTGTGGAACATTGGAGACGTTCATGTGTTTATTGAAAGCCCTGTATGGTTTCACAGCATGTCGGTGATGTTATCATCGTTACTCACATTCTCTAACCAAAAACAGTTTTGTGTGAACGTTAACGTGATAAACGACTGAAAGTAAGAAAACTGAACTGAAAGACGGGCTGGTTAGGCAGTCGGCATGTGTGAATAAACTGAAGACGACTGCAAACAATAAGGTGTTTGTCTCATATTTATAATTTAAAGGCTGGGGACAAATTATATATATATATATATATATATAAACAAATGCAGTTTTTGCATTTGAGATGACAGGAAAAAGTAAATTCACCCCTAGGCCTACAGCATATAAAATACAGGTGAAACTCGAAAAATTTGAATATTGTGCAAAAGTTAATTTATTTCAGTAATTCAACTTAAAAGGTGAAACTAATATATTAGACTCATTACATGCAAAGTGAGATATATTATGGCTTACAGCTATGAAAACATTTCACAATATTCTAATTTTGAATTTGGGGTTTTCATAAACTGTAAGCCATAATCATCAAAATGATGACAAATAAAGGCATGAAATATCTCACTTTGCATGTAGTGTGTCTATATATTAGTTTCACCTTTTAAGTTGAATTACTGAAATAAATTAACTTTTTAACTAGTCTGCAGTTGATCTGCAAATAGATTTTCCATATCTACTGCGGATTATTTTTGGTTCAGTAGCAAAGAACAAGGGCAAACAGTGAACAAGACAGAAAATTTCATCCCCTCATGCAGCATAAGGTTTATGTCTGAGAAAGAGAGAAAAAAAACGGCAGGTTTTCCCTGGATGGAAGCCCGCTAACTAAACATTTGCCTGGATCTTGCTTAGCTTTGCTCCATTCATGGGACAGTGTCGCCCTCTAGTGGAACGGAAAGCTTTGTGCTAAATGCAAATTGAATTCCCCAACAACATCTGAAGAAACTCGTTCCCTCAAATCATTGTCTCTCAACATGTGTAAGTACTAGGACTTGACTCAGATTTGCGATCAAAATATGTTGAATATTGTTTTCACTAATATTTTAAGTTTAATAGCCTCAAATATAAAAATCATATAGCCTACCGACCGTACTGTGGTGAATGTGAAACCCAAACTGGGGCACATGTCAGTAATATCAGTTTGTATTGATACTGCATTCTTGTAAAGACTGCAAGATAGGCTATGTGATACCCTCATAATAACTTATCATTTAGATTTCAAGCAACTTAAGCTCTCACATTGAAGATGGACCACAGTTGTTTTCTTCATTTTAGATTTTATTTCACTCACATTTTCATATAAAACTTTGTATGTTTTGTCTCCTCTGTAGGCAACAGTTAGCGTAAGTCACTCTTACAGTGTAGAATTCAAATCCATTCAGCCTTATTAATAAAGCACCTCTAACACACACATACACACAATCATAATGTAAGTTAGTTTTCAGTTACTATAGTGGTCTCTAATCTGAGTACTTAAAAAAGGAGGAAAACAAAAATATATCTGACAAAAAAAAAAGATGCTTAGCATTTTAGTTACAGGTACATTAGCATGTGCAACGTTCAAACCTCCTTTTTAAAGCCATTAGGTTTTAGACCACTGGACTGGCAGATGTTCATATGTCAAAAACATTAACAAAAAAGAAGACTGACTTCCATCTACCATGTTTTGGTCAATAGCAGGCCCTTATGCCACCATTTTTAAGGATACGTCAGTTTCTAGTTCAGACACTACAGATAAAACTCATTTGAGTGCAGGAATGTGTGTTGGCAAACACAGAGAGCCAGTACATTAAGCTAATTCAGTAAACTGAGACGAAAATACATGCTAACATACAACAAGGCAAAAACAAAGTAAGAAAAAAACATTTTATAAACAGCAACAGTATAAAACAAAACAAAAATCCTTCTTGTTTGATTGGTCATTTGCAAAACTCATAATTATTGCAGGTTTAGGTTTGAATCAAGCTTAATGCTTGGAGCTTTACAATGCTAAGTCATATGAGGGAGCAACCATGCTAACAATTTCATTATTAGCCTCACATGCTCAATTTTAGCTAATGTAATCACATAATAAAGCATCCTCCTTTACCCATGACATGTAAGGGTGAGTAAATCAGAAGCAGAGAGATAACGGCAACATTTGCATTTACAACCAACAATGTGTGGATTTTTAACATTTCTTTTTTTCTCTCTCTACATATAGGCTAGTGTTAATATGAATGTGAGAGAACTAACATAAGAGCACCTTTTGAAATATGAAGAACCCATACTGCACTCACAAACATTGGTTCATCACTCAAATCAGCAAGAATCTTTCTGGCACACATACAAACACATACACGCACATACACACGGCAAAATGACCATTTTCTTGGGTTTCTTTAAATAATTTAGCAACATCACAGAACTCATTATACTATTTGAAGACACCATTTTTTCTTTTCATATAACCATTCAAATTATTACTTTGTTTTTAACTATCATTAAACAGGAGTGAACTAAAACAACTATAACAGAAAGCATCTAGGAAAAATCTTCATCAACATTATTCATATTCTAAAACAAGAGGTATGTGGGAGGGACGGACACTAAAAATGCAAAAGGGAAGAACAGCAAGGGTAAAAAGGACGAGGAGGATGGTCTTCACAGGGTTAAAATGAGGGTTTGGACGTTTAAAATGATGTGCACTGTTGACAGAATATTATAATCAGTCTAACTTGTAATGTTCCTTAAATACCAGGACTATATAAAACTGTGGCCTAGTGTGACAAACTGAGTCAACATTACAGTATAGACCTCAAAGTCTTCCTTGACTTGTCATACAGTACATAAAGGTTTACATGATGTATAAGATGATCTTAGATTTTAAGTACTTAGTTTAAAGGTTGAACACATCATGTCATGAGTCATATTTCAGCACAAAAGAAAATAAGATTCTTTTAATTACATTTTTAAAATAGAATGTAAAGCCAATTTTAAGACCATTAAGATTTTTTGGCATTGTGTCATTGTCAATTTATGACATTTGCACCCAAACTTCTCATTACTGTAAAGTAAAGTAATTAGATTACTATATTAAAATATGAGATTCGCCATTTGAGAGTAATAAAATGTACAAAATAAAAATAAAACGTGGATGCACTACAGTAATGGGATTTGCAGGTAAAATGTGCTGAACTGTTGTGGAACAGTCACAAAAAAATCTTTATGGTTCTAAAAAAGGCTTTATTTTAGTTATGTAAAATGTCTTGTTTTTATTTATTATTTAGATTTTCGAGTAAAATGTGACCTGGACATGGTTTTATGATATTCACCCATACATAGAACTCAATATTTTTACTTTCTACCTGAAGTAAAATTACAGCTAGAATCTCTTCTGTAATCTTTAAAGGCTTGATGTGCAATAAATGTGTACGAACTCATTCACTCCTGAAAAAAAAAAAAAAACATTTGATTGTAGGTGACAGTACTCAAACATTAAACACATTGTCCTCGCCCTCACAATACAAAGCGGTGGTAAATAAATAAATGTCCACGAACTGGGACGTTAGGCTACAGCTTCAAACGGTGTAAGGTCAAGACTACGATAAATCAGTAAAGAACTGCTATGCAAATGGCTTGCACATTCATTTATCCTCCTGATCCCCGTCAGCAAGTTCAAACGAATCAAGTTTTCAACGTGCATACAGAGAACAAGCAGCTTTTTCACTCATCTTCATGCTAGCTCTTAGCAAAACACTTGTACAGTACATGAAAACCAAGTATTTCCAGGATTGTTGGGTCTATTCACAGGAAGGATGCTACAAACAGCAGCCTCATCAAAAATTAGCAACCCCTTCTCTTAGCATTAGCACTGCGTTAGCATTAGCCATATGCATACTACTAATGTTGCATTCACGCCCTGGCAGAATTACCATAATTACAGAATTCTGAGGATTAAAACCCATTGTTTTAATGAGGAACTTTGGGAACTTGTGTAATTCTAAGGTTGGAACCTCTGAATTTGATTAAAACTCTTCCAAGTACATTCCATTCCAAGTTAATGAAGAGATTTTTCTGTCATAAGCAACAAAGCTGCGCATGGATACATTTTGGCGTTATGAGCATTGCTATAGAACTGAGTCAGAGTATATGAACAGCTCAGAGTTGTCATCTCATAACTGCAGTAATTCCGACGAAACGTGAACTTAACGTTAGTATATACCCTCTGGTCAGTGCCAATTAGTTGTCGGGGTGCGCTATTGGAAACTATACAAACTAGAAGGCCATAAGAAGCCGCTGGATAATCCTGAAAATGCTTGCTCCTCGACATAAAGGCCACATTTCCCCACCAGTATCAAGTAATGAACCGATACCATATTGGAAAAAACAACACTTGTCAGATCAGGATCTCTGCTCTTCTTGAGTTTCTTTTTTTCATTTTTTCTTAAATAAATTATTCTATTTTTTTCTTTTTAATTACTCATTTTTACCACAGACAACCTACTTCAAACACAGTACATGCTTATCTCCAGCTAAAATGGATACAAACCCATGAAGGTAACATGTTTCATTAACATTGAATAACATTATGCAGAATTGTAAGATATCGCACTGTGTGGAGTAGGCTCTCTTTGAATTTAATGACTAACTTGTGCAAAACATCTGCAGAGTTGATGGGCTCTACACTTCTGGAGGAAGTTGTACTGCCTTTTCATCCAGTGCCAGGCACGTCTCGAGGCATTCCCCGTCATTTGAGGCCTGTTCTGGACAAAGATGTTCTTCGCCACCATCCTCGAAAGGTGGAGGTACTTCGACAGACAAGCTCTTGGCCGAATCCTGCCCGCAGGTTTCTTGTTTTTGCCGAACGCTCTTCGTCTCTGGATCATCACCTTCCCTCACCGCCTCTTCTACTTTTGCTGGGAGCGTCTCAAAGGCTGCCGTCTCTACGTGGCCTACCTGATAGTAGAGGACAGAAGAAGGGTCTTTGAGCAGCCTCTGCTGGGTCTGTTCATCTGGATGGTTTTCTGTAATACACAGCAGGGTGGCACCTTCAGGAAAAGGCCCCTCTAGAAGGACTCCCTCAACACCTTCCATGCCCTCCATCCCAGCCTGGCTGGACAGGGCACCCTGCAGGAGGCAAAGGGTTGGGTCGGCGTTCTGCTCTTCCTCGACCTGCTGCTCCTCTTGTTCCAGTCTCCTTTCTCGTTCCTCTGCACTTTGTAGGTGAAGCACGGCCGTTTCGTTCTCACGCTCCAGGCTGTCGCACTGCTCCTCTTGCAGCTCCTGAACACTTTGGCTTTCCACATCCGAGTCCAAGGGAGAAAGAGACAGAGAGGGCGAGGAGACTAACTCTGTCTCTTCCCCACAGTCCTCTCCAGACCTAACACCCAACAGGATTCTCTTTTCCAGGTCGAGTTTCATGACAGTGTGGAGATAATGGGTACGCACACGAAGAGGGTTGAACTCAATGCGGCCGGCGGTGTTACCACAACCATCACGGGTGCAGCCACATGGGAAGGACATCCGATCCACCTTTGGAACAAAGTACAGGAGAAAGAGCATGATTTTTTTCCTGATATTAAATGATAGCCTTTTATTTGAATAGGCTAATAGTCCAAATCAGGGGTTTCCAATCCAATTCCAAATGGGGCACCTTCCAGCAGAGTTTAGCTCCAGCCCCAATTAAACACACCTGAACCAGTTAAACAAGGTCCTAAAGCTCACTAGAAACTTTCAGGCAGGTGTACTGGAGCTAAATTCTGCAGTGGGTGGCCCTCCAGGAGCAGGAAGGGACACCCTTGGGCTAAGTGGACACTACTTAATAGTAAAAAGTACTTTCGAGACTACCAAGTGCCCTACCTGGCACTTAATTCCAGCCTGGCTGCAGCCGCAGTGCCGAGGGTCACAGTAGAAGCGGCAGTCACAACCGCACTCCTCCCGGGACAAACGTATGGCACGCAGATCAGCCTTTTCTCTGGCATCTATACGGGCAATACCTGAGGCCCTCAATAGTGCCCGGCGCCGCTTGGTAGGAAGAGGCTGCAGGAAGAAGCAATCGTCCACCTCCACACTCTCAACGTCCAGATCCTCATCGGATATGTCGTCCAGGGTAAGCAACTCCGCTTCAGGACAATCTACAGTTCCATTCCGTGTCAGCTGGGAAAAGTCAGGTAAGAGAGTTCTTAAAATCAAAACAAATTAGCTGCCCTACTGCAAAAGCAGAATCGTGTATGAGCAACAGGAGCAACAACCACACACAACTAACCTTTAACTTGCGAGCATTGAGCTTTTCTTGGCGTAAGTGTTGACGCAGCACATGCTTGTGGCCGCTCTCTTGTTCTCGTGCAAACTCGCCAAGGGTGTAATGTCGTATAGCGCAGTGATGGCGCGCCATGCCCAGGGAGCTGCCACCCTGACTGGGCACACTGGTGAAGCCCTGCCTTCTGGAGAAGTAGTAGACCGTCACCGCATCAAAGCGTACCTGCTTACGACCTAAAGACACTTTGTGTCTTCTGAGAATGGAGGGAGCTACAGAAACAAAATGTAAACAATAATGTTACGGTCTATATATAGCTTTGGTGCTCAACCTATGCCTCCTTAAATGACAATATTGTGTTTAATGCCAAAATGGTGTTCAACAACTTTTCATCTCAAGGCTTGCTGCTTTAGGAACAATGTTATTTATTTTAAGTAGGACATACTCCTGAAACGGACTATAGAGGATGTATCGGAGTCCAAAGGTGGCCTTAAAAGGGTCATGAATTACATTAATACTTTTGACATTTAAGAGGTCTTTATACTATAAAAATATCCTGTAAGTGTCAGAACTCAAAACTTCCTTGTTAGTCCAAAACAGTTTTTATTGAAACCAAGCTGCCAAAATGACAGATTTTATCACATTATTACGTCATAGTGCAATAAAAGACAACCTCTGCAGAAGAAGATCAACGCCTATTTATATGAATGAATGAATGAATGAGGCATTTATATAGTGCTTTCATGTACTATTGTACACCCTACTGTAAACATTATTGCCACCAACTGATATAACATGTAGTAGGCCTAGTTAATATGAGAGACGCAAACAGCAACAAAACGATAGATATGCTTCTGAGGATTACAAGACGTTTTGAAGTGGGAAATATATTAGTGGGAAAACAGTCTTTGCATTGCTCAGTTACATTAAGAAAGCGTGGATGGACTTTATTTTTAACGAAGTTCCAGATTGTGTCAGTAAGACAATGTTCATTTGTTCGCTTAATTTTACTTCAAATTTGTTTTTAAACAAGACTGTTCGGCGCAGACTTTTCAGAGAGATTAAACATAAAAGATAATGCAGTGCCAACTATATTGGATTGGATAGGACGGCAATGTCGCAACACACAAGTGTTTGTAACAATGTTTTTACCATGATATGATATGTACTGAGTATTTATACTGTGGCGCCGCAGTCAAACTGTGAATAGTTGTGATTTGCTGTCCTTTCCTTTGCTTCGGCATTTATGGGGTTCATGTGTTGGATTATCGGATAAGGAAGAAAGCACGTAGAGAACGCTGCTTTTGTTATTATTTTGATCAAAGCCATTTGCTGTAATCCTGAATAAAAGCTGTGCAGCATCTTCTGTTTTCTCATCAGTAAGACATTACAACACGTTTCATATTATTAAAACATGACACTGCAAATGACAATTTATACGTTTTTCCCTATATCAAAACGGATGGACGATGAATAGACTATAAGAATGAAGGTGTGACAAACTATGGTACATTCATTCATAATTCCATTTAGACGAAAAACTGTAAGCTATCATTTGCCAATTATAACTCTTGTACCTCCATGTACTTGAACTTTATTTGCCACAACTTATAAAGCACATGTAATACGCATAAATGTTCATTGTTGGTAATTATGTAACAAGATATTTTACAACATTGGAAAACACTTCCCCACATGTAATGAGAATTACATTGAGAATTATTTTAATAAATTAATTAAACTTTTACCCAATTAAACAGTTACCCAATCATAGCAGTGAGCGTTTACTTCCAAGTCTCGAATATGGCATGCCTTTCTTACCTGAGTGTTTCAAAGAGAGGGCCAAAAACAGCATAGAAAATAGTATATTACTACTAAATTAGGATTTTTTTAAAATGTAAAAATCATTTAAAATGTTATATTTAAAAAAAAAAAAAAAAAGTCGTTCTTGACCCTTTTAAAGGTATATTTCTGAAAAGAGTCCCTATGTGTTAAACAAAGTAAATGCAAAAGCTTTTACACTGAAATGATTCTGATTTGCAAATACTGCAATAGTGCAAATGGTGTCTGAAAGAAGCTCAGGGGTGAAGAACAAAACAAAACACATGGAAATTGTTTGAGCTGAGTTCATAACTTATAGCCAGGATGTTGCTATAATAATAATGAAGTCATAAGACTAACTTGTGTGTTCTTACGTGTTAGAGAGCTGGAGGGAGCATTGAGACTGTCGCAGCTATCAGCGCTGTCACTGCTGGAGATGTCATCATCTGAATCTTTGGGTGTGGAACACGGCGAGCCGCTGTCCACCTCCTCAAATCTGCGCTTCAGGCCGCGAGATGACACTGTCTCCATGGAAACACTGCGTCTGGAGGCATTGCAGAAAGGTACAAGCTTTGTCAGACAGACTGACAAGACTATTGCTAGCAAAATTCAAACATGACAAAAGAGTAGGATATGTTTAAAAGCAAGAGCAGCATTTCTAACTTTTGAATGCACTTTATCCTCATATAAATTCTAAAATACTGGATGGATTATATATATTGTACTTTTGTCATTTCATCTAATTTCTGTTTGAAAATCTACATAGTCTAGTCAAGGAACTTTCTGTGAATCAATTTGGTGAATATCTTAAAAGCTAATATTGTAATAAAAAGAAATATATTATAAATAATATATATAAACATTTTTCATAATTGTAATAACTTTTAATTTTTAAAGCAAAACTGTAATTCTTCAAAAAGTTTACTAAATAAAAAAAATTATTAAAATAACTAAAAACGATGTGAAACGTGGCCAGTAACAGATTAATCAACAGCTGCAATGCTGAATAAAAATAAAAAGCGGCCAAATATAACATAAAATTGCAACAAAAGATTTAAACAGTGAGTTTGGAGAGGCACTTTATCTTACTGTTAGGTCATCTCCAATGGAAAACAACAGATTATCAGGTCATTTTAGACACATTTGGACTAGAAAAGCAGGATTTCTATAGATACCTGCAAGTTAGAGATTATTTTAACAAAAAAGTTAAAAGTATAATAATTATATTATAATTTTACATTTTCAAATGCATATTCATTAGAAGATAACAAAAAGCTGGTTTCGAGATTATATGGATGTATACAAGCGTCTATGGATGTATACAAGAACCATTGATCAAAATGCATTAAACAAAAATGGGGAAAAGATTCTGACTCTCAAATAACAGAGGAAAACTGGACAGATTTATGTGTGATACAGGCAAATCCTATTTTTAGGTTTACGTAATTTAGTTTAATTCCTAATTTAGTACGATTCTTAATAACTCCCAAACCAAGTGTTAACGTCAATGGCTAATCATTATTTTAATATTTTTTTTGGGACTGCCCAAAATACATTTGGCACAATTTGGCAAGAAGTAGCGGCAGAAATTGAAAAGGATAATGGAGTTTGACTATTCATTCATTACATTATATCTAGGGAAAATACCAGAAGCTGTTTTGGACAAGGATAAATACTTAAAAAATTGTTAGTTCACCCACAAATGTAAATTATCTCATGAATCGTTCATTAATCGTTCAAAACCAGTAAGACTTTCGTTCATCTTCGGAACACAAAGGAAAATCTTTTTAATGAAATCTGAGAGCTTTCTGTCCCTCCATTGACAGAAACACAACCACTTTCAAGCCGCAGAAATGTAGTAAAGACCTCATTAAAGTAATCCATGTGACTCCAGTGGTTTTACCTCAATTTTACGAGTGCTTTGTTTGCGCAAAATACTAATCTCCAACACGCGTTCACACTTCCATCCAAACTCCCTACAAAGATCTTCATTTGTGTTCCGAAGATGAGTGAAAGTCTCCCGGGTTTGGAACGACATGAGGGTGAGTAATTATAGACAGAAATTTCTTTTTTGGGTGAACAAACCCTTTAACAATACTTTTAGCAAACAGCAGAAAACGAATATGGTTGCAGGTAGACCCTCCAACAAGGGACCAGGGGCTAGGAATTGTAAATTAAATATATTGTATGAAGAGAGACATTTATTTTAAGGCTTCATTTAGAAAAAAAGTATTGGGGAAAATAGGTTATGCACATACACCATTGAGGAAAGTGTGATATTGTATATTTCGATGTTGGAAATGTACTGTGATTTGGCATTATGATGCCAATTGTTCCCTGTTTTCAAGTAAAATACAATGCAACCAAAAAAGGCCGCATACAACAATCTAGTAGCTTATGCAACATCACCTCTTTTGCTACCTAATCCTTGGCTTTCTCTTTCTCCATCCAGTATGAGAGTCCTGCTTAAAAATCATGAAGCCAGCAAACATCACCATGGTAACTGGTTTAAAGCAATAGCCATGGAAAAACTGCATCCAAGTTTTGGGTCTTTTCACTTCCATTAAAACCGATAGAATCTTACAAACAACAAGCCTTTGCAAGCGGATAACAAAACCAGTTCAGTCAAACCAGTGAGGTCACACAAGGCTGAGTCGGGACGTTTGATCAGACCACCTCCTTAGCCCGAGGGAGCTGTGTAATACAACTGCTTTGAGCGGCTCCATGCTTGATTTTCTTCATGATTAAACACTATTTTTAAACAGTCGGTGGCTTTTTACTGGGTTAAATGAGAATAGTTTGGCGGTGGCTTTGAAGGAAGGTCGGCTTTTTCCATGTGAAGGGGGGGAAAAAAGGTGACTTAAGAGTTATGACTGACAATTAAACTCACAACCTAATGGATTTAATCCCACACAGATTTGTGAAATCCATAAAAACTGGATTAGTTTTATTAATTCTGATTATGAAGGAAATAACATTAGCCTGACTCAGCTTGGGCATATGAATGTCTTATTCATTTTGATAATGTAATTTAATAATCAGGCCTGGTAGCCTTGAATTCACATACAAGATCAAGTACGTGCCAACATCTGCCACCTTATCGCTGGTAATAACCTTGAAACATCAAAAACAGCTGCAACAAACAACAGGATTGAAAATATGCTGCTTTATGCATCAGTGTTAGAGACACAGTGCGCTGCTCATGAATGAACCGTATCCATAGAAACAAGAAATGCTAAACGAGTCCATTTTTTGCTCGTTTAGCATTTCTTGTTTCCTCCCTTTCATGTGTTGCTTTTATAATTAATGCTACCGTGGTGATGCAGTAAAATGCACAGAAAATCTGTGGTGATCTACAAGTAAGCTGCTAGCAAATAATGCAGTACGTCTGCCAATTATTGTGTATTCAATGAAGCATGCCAAGATTTCTCTTCAGACTCAAAGCCAAACTTAGTCACACATACACCACTAAGACACCACCGTGTACACTCAGTGTCTTAAAAGCATATGTTTTAACTTATACATTGGGTAAAGCATTATAACCATATGGAGGCAGGCAGTGACAAAGGAAAGCTTTGCAATGGCACCAAACGTGCATAGAAGAGTCATTCATCACCATTTGCCTGATTCACAAATTGCTTGAGATGTTACTAAATTATATGCATTTAAACCCTAAATGAATAAAGAAACAGCTGGATGGTACAATGATGGCAATAATAATCCAATAATATTCATTTGAAAAGCATTAATCTTGCAACCTGAGACTTACTATTTATTCTGCATCAGGTATTAAAACTAGTCAGATATGCAACAAACTGGAACAAATGGGCACTAAACCCAGGTTACATCACTGTAAAACACAGTTTTAGATAGGGGTGCATGATATATCGGCCTCCATATCGGTACTGGCCGATATGTTCATTTTTTATGTTATCGTTATCGGCCCGATAATAAAATTTGACCGATGTATCAAAGCGATGAATAATGGATTTCCTTCAGCTGAGACGCTTCAGATGTGCACTGTTCACCATGTTTTTTTTTAATGGCATGAAATATGATTGAAATCACTTCAAAAAAGGAAAATACAGTTAAGTGCAACAAGTCTGTCATATAGGCTGCATAAGATAATGAGAACATTATAATTGTGTGCTTGGGACATGGCTTTTAATGGTAAGACTTTTGTTTTTGAAATCAGGCTCACAAATGATATAAAAATTTGGATTTAGATTTATCGGCCAATATATGGGTTATTGGCTTTCAAATATAAAGAATTATCGGTATCGTTCAAAATGTTCATATCGGTGCATAGTTTTCGATGTAAAGGAGTAATTAGTTCTCAATTTGAGAGTTATGATCATTGGCAAGCAGAAAGAGGCTTTTAAAAGCACTCCACTGTACCATGGAGAAAAATGGGAGCACTAGACATCCAGCAACTGTATGTAACCCATTGCACATCGAAGAAGTGACAAACGGACATCATGCACAGGCATGCATAGTTTGCATATCCCAGAGATGTCCGCAGGGAGATATGCGGTAATAATTTCTATGCCATACCTCCATCTCTGGAAAAATAGCAGAAAAGAAAATGAATCTCCAATACCATTGGAGTATGATACCAATAACTGAAGGAAAGGCAGGTTTAGGCAAACTAACTAGTTTCTGAATGCAGCACAGGTCGTTTAAAAGAAGGGATGCAACTGCAAAGCTGACATATGTTTGCAGAGCTCCAAACACACATCCTGTGGCCTATTTGAGGTGGACAGAAAGCATGAATAATAATCACCCAGTACTGACTACACACCAATCTGTTTGACTGTTCTGCACTAAAATAGCCCATCCTAGACATATGACACATAAACGTCACGTCTTACAAACTCTGCAGGTGACATTGCAGTTTCTTAAAATGCAAACATTATTCCCATTCTGTGAATGCCTCCATGCACCACTTCTATGCACACACAGCAGCTGGGTTTTTTAAAGAGGTCTACCAGTACATAAAGTGGAAGATTTATTAAATGACACTTTACACTACATTGTCCATGTTACAGTTAATTATTTTAGTAATTAACTGTAGTAACAAAACATATTACTGTATATTACAAAACTGTATATTACAAAACATGTAAACGTCCAGCAATATGAACACTGTATTGTAAAATGTGACTGCACCAGGCTGTGGTAGTAAAGTATATAGTTTATATGTTAACTAGCACATAACCACATAGTTAGCATCCATTCCATGTAGAACCTATTTATTAGACATGTAGTGTGTATTACAATTAATTCTAGCTGCATCCTACTAGTTCTGCATCTTAGAAATTGACTAGCCAAAAAGCAATTGTAACTAGTGTCAGATAAGAAATGTCACTTGTAACAATTGGGATAGGTACTAGCATATCAAACAAATAAGTAGCCTACTAGTAAATCTGGTACATATACTAGTAATTTAGAAAGTAGTACCGAATTAATAGGTACCAGCAACAAATCTATTAGATCACTAGTCTGGGGTAAATAGTTAACATCTGAACCACATTTTCTATGGAACGCAATGGGAAAAATTGTTACCAGACCTGTATTAATGCTAGTGGTAGATAAATAGTATGAAACAGTACTAGTAAATACTACTAGTATCTATTAAGTGCTAGTAAAACATAGACAGTTAGTTTAAAGGAATAGGCCTAAATATTAAAACAACTTGCCATAGTGATACCCAATAGATTGAGATGACACGTCACATAATTATCTGTCCCATGATTTTTTATTTTTTACTGGGAAAGACAGACAGAAGGTATTATGACAGAGCAGAAAATGGCATGCTGTGTTGCAACCGGTCCAATGATCAACCCATTTTCCTCGTTTTTCTTTGTAGGCTTGGCTGCAAGGGAAAAGTGAAACACAAAACCTCTCTCATAGACTTACCTTGGGCAGAAATAGAGAGCCTTTAAACCGGCGAAGCTGTCGCTCGTTCCGTGCTTCCTTTATTTGGATGGTTCTCTTTTTTGGGGGGGATTTAGAGCCTATTTCAGCTTTAGACTTCCACAAGGTTACAAAATGACAGACAACGGCGACTTCAGCCCATCGAAATGGCCAGACCAATGAGGAAATAGCAGTTTATTCACGAAAAATTAAGCATCGTAAACAATGGACATTAGTCTTGACATGGTCTATAAATGGGGGTCTGTGTATCAAGAAGCCTATGCGAACATTTAACGTTGCAATCAAGCTCTGTATAGATTAAAAACGGGGCAGACGAAGACAGACAAGAACCTCATTCACTAAAAATTTAAAATTCCGACGTAGATGCATCCAATACATGCAGATAAAATCTCTAGGTGATCCTTTAAAATGCCTGCATTCAAAAAGACCAAATAGAGCCGAGCTTCGGTTTTTTTCCCCCTCCGGATAGGTGGTTGTGTTCTGCGCTATGTTTAGACAAATCGCAACGTTATATTTCCACCTCGAAGGAAAGAAAAAAACAAAAAATGATGTGTAGTGTCTGTCGGCCCGAGGACCCTGTGGGCCTCTCTTCTGCCCCGGTTTGTTACAATGTAACAATAGAGTAAGGAATGCCGCACGGGACCCATATATACTTATTGTGACGTCAACAACGTGCCGGCGTAGAGGCTGTCGGGAAACGTAGTTCTAAAGAGCCTATTGTTAGCTTTGGAATGTCCGTTGTCTTCCTCGACAAGAAAACGGATATTGTTTCTCTGGGCGGGTTTATTTGGATACAAGGCGTGTAAAACAATAAAGGGATATTTTGTCTCAAACAAACGTCTCGTCTGTGACAGTTACGCTAGTCCAGCTGGGCCTATTTGTAGTCCTCGCTTCGTTTTTTTTTTTTTTTTTTTGACAGTTCGGTTTCCATGGAAACTAAGTGGGGTCGTTCTCAACTAGTCAAGCACTATTAGCAAGAGACTGATACTGAAAAATGTATGAATATAGGTGGGTGAATCTCAGTGTGTTTAGAACAAACCGTGTTCATATTTCAGCCACAAACTCAAAAGAAAAGAAAAAAAAGAAAATCATTTAGCTTAAAGAAAATCACTGGTTTTAATATTTTGAGGGACATTTTGACAATTAAGCAAAAAAGAGAAAAAAAAAAAAAAACATTTAAATAATAATTATTTGTAAACCACAGTAATATTTGTTTTTTACATAATACTGTATTTTATGAGTTATTTTGTCTTTTTTACTGTCAAAAAATAATTGAATAATTTTTTTTAATTCAATTTTCTTTATGATAAAAAGTTAATGGAGGATACAAAACCAAACCGCTTGATTCAATGTAATTTTAATCATTGCAATGACATGGTAAAGGGTCACAGACAATACCTCGCATCTTTTTACCATATTGGTCTGGCTTGCGTCTAGCACTAACCATGGCTACCTTTTCTCATGCAGTGCAATATTTCTCCCCTTTACCCCCCCTGCAAGATTAGTAAATCAGTGGTCATATCCAAAAGGAAACAAAAAGAAAGTAAAACATGATCTCTCTTTTTATACTGTAAAATAATTCTCTGGCAAGTTGGAAATTTGTAAAAAATCTATTCTAGTATATGTAACAAGAATGAAAAAACAAAAGTGGAGAGGGGTGTTAAGCACAATGTTAAAAAAATAAAATAAGACGCACGTATATAATGCCCACTGCTGCCGTTCATCTCCTGTCTGTAAAATAACGTGCACACGCAGCATCAACTGAAGAATCATCAGGGATCAAAGCTACAGAACCTAATATCATGCCCAACAGTCATAAAGAGTCACCTGAACAAGCCTTAAAAAAAAAAAATCAACAATTAACTTGAGGAACATCAGCGATTTGTGCAGCACTGCTTCAGTCAATTAAAGGTAGGGTGGCATTATCGATCGAATTTCATTCTGCGATCGTGTCAAGATCATACGCTAAACCATTTTTCCACAGGTGACAGTACTGACGACAACGTTCATCATGAATGGATGCAATTTCATAAGCGTCCTTGGAGTCTCAGTCTCCGTCTATGACATAACTTTGCACTTTTTACAGTGTTGTTTATAAAACGTGTATGGACTGCACTTCACATGGAGTTCTAGCATATGCACCTAAAATACTCATAGAATGACATCCAGGCAGTCAACACCAAATAACACTGTATTTAACGCCAGCCACTCTCTGTTTGAGCCGGTACGGCCTTAGTACATAATTACATTAGACAAAACCTATTTTTTTCTGCCTTTAAAAAAAGCAACAAAACAAACTGATGCAAAGAAAGGTAATAAAATAGAAATTCTATGATATGTTCTTTGCGAAATTTCATTTTTTGTAAATGGGAAGAGTTTGAAAAAGTCAGCACGCACTCCATAGACAACAACAGTGAGGGTTTCAAAATGGGTCAGGTGCCTTTTTTCCCTTTTCCCATGATCGTCTCCATTACTATTCCAAGCAAAGCGATCTTCAGTAAGGTCCAGGAAGTGTGCAGGGAATGGGCTGTGGGCTGAATCTTAAGAAAAACATAAGGGGACTCTTCACTCCCCCCCTTTATCCTTTGTTTTCACTTCAAAATGATGTGATAGCCATCGTTTGTTTCAGCTGAAAATTGAATTGAAAGAGTGAAAGTTATAAAACAGGTTACCTGGAAACAAAGATATGTTGGTTAAAACTTCTCAGTACTTAAAAAGAAACTGGCTCGCTCATACCTTTCATTGTGTCCAGGACAAAACACATCTCATCTTGAAAGTTCTGAATCATCTGTTTGAATGAGAACAAAGATTAAGTCAGAAAAAGAGAGAATAAGAGATCTTGCGTAATTAAAGTTGCGATGAAACAGAAGTAGCGCCATATTGTGACGTACATCTGAGTGTGTACGGATTATCGGAAAAGAAAGAATGTTGATTCTATGCAGCGGTTGTTGATTGGATTTTGAGTTGTGGGCGTGGCACTCAAGAATGAATGTAGGCTTGCAGTCATTTGAAGAGGGGTGGGGTTTAAGAGAGAGAGAAGTCTGTTGTTTTCAACTCTAAGATTGACATTTTGATTAAACATTATGAGCTCAAAAAAAGAAACATGGATGGATGAATGTTCATAACGAGATCTATAACATGCCTTTACAAAACAGACCTCATTTACTTTAAAACACGTTCTTGGTCTTATTGTGCATGTTACAACAATATTGAACTGGTTTTCATTTTTTAAACCACCATGTCTTCTTTTTTTCAACCCCATCATCCAAACTTCAGGCTCAATTCTGGTATGTAACACCCACTTTTTAAATTAATAATACAATTTAAATCAAGTCCTGGATCCTTTTTCTTGTTAAATTCTGAATATAATTTGGAAATATGTCACATTACAGCAGTAAAGTGGGTTGCAGTAAGGCCATTTTCATACTAGAGCTTGAACATACTGGTCAGCATGAACATTTTTGCAAATTTGGGTGCATACGGTACATGAGCACTCCAGTGTGGCACACAATTGGTGTGAAAGCAATCTGCTCTTATTTGTGGAAATGAACTGCTATCGATGATGGATTGATGACGACTGATGCACTGCAAGCACAGCAGCAGATTTGCAAGCTCTGCAGAAATGGCCTTTGGCGAGCAGCTCATGCAATGCATCTTCGGACCAAACAATCGAAACAAAGCGTGAAAACAGCTTTAAGCTTGCCCTCTATTAAGTAGCAATAGGGTTAATGTCAACAGAAAAGTGATCAATGCCATGCTTCTAAAGTGAAGGGAATGTTTCTATATTGAGCGCAGGTTGGTGCAAGGAAAACTAAACAAAAGTGAAGAAAAAGAAAGCCTGTAGAGGCCCTTACTACCTCATCACTGACTAACACATGGATACCAGTGGGTCCCTGCTTGAAGATCTGACTGATCTGGCGTGGAGAGATGCTGAAGAGCTGAGCCAACTTCTCTGTCAGTTCCACAGCTGTTAACTCCTCCAGATAGATAGCATGATACACTAAGATGGGGGTAAAGAAACATGAGACCCTAATCAACAAATCGCTGCATAGAAAAAAAAGAAAAGCAAAAACATTCAAATAAGATGGGATAACAAGCTATCAAAAATATGGAAAATTTTAAAACACCTGACAACATGAAATCAATACTGACCCTATATATTTTCTCTGGTTATTTGACCTCATTTACTATGTCCCAGGTCATATTGCGCATAAGTGTACATTATTCTAAAGTAAAAAAGCATTGCCGCCTCTAAAAAGCTTTCTATTTTGCTGACATAACCAGACCATGCAGGTAAGGAAAAAAATATTACCTAACATTTCATTCCAACAATAACTTGATATAATGTAATTATATTTCGTTTAATCTTTTTTTTTGTTGATCTAGTTGATGTCAAACTCACCGAAAAAAGTGTTACTAGTCCCGTCTCCATTCTCATGTTTCTGATGCTGTTCACGACCCTGTTGGGACTCCTGGCACACATAGATGGTGAGCCGTGGACGGACTACCCTGTACAAGAACATATACATACACGGTTAATATATAATTGTTAGTTCACAATAATATGTAAATATCAACAGCCCAGGAAAAAGCAAAACATGGAAACTGAACGCAGAAATAGAGTACTGTTCAAAAGTTTGTAGTACTTAAAAAAAAAAAAAAAAAAGAGAGAGAGAGAGAGATTAATGTTTTTATTCAGCAAAAAAATTATTAAATTTATTAAAAGTGACAGTAAAGGCTTTTACATTGTTACGGGAAATGTTCTAGTTCTAATAAATGCATTCTGGTCATCAAAGAATCCAGAATTCTTTTTTATTACGGTTTTTACAAAAATATTAAGCATTTATTTTCAATAAAATGAATGTACTATATTGTAGTTCAATAATGTTTTTTAATTCATATTTTATATTTTTTGAGGATTTTATGATATCAAATGATATTTATGCAGTAGATATAATACATTTTTTATCTGTTAACCACTTTTTGAGCATAGACCTGAAAATGAAATTTACAATTTAAACTGTCATAAATAATGAATGTTTTGGAGCACAGACTAAAGTTTGGTCTCTTTTTAAAGAAGACACCTGGCAGATTATTGCTAAAGTAAAAAAAAAAAAAAAAAAAAAAGTGAACTTAAAGTTATGAAAGTTTAAGTTTGTTTAAAAAATAAATAAAAAAAAGCACAAAAATACTATTTTACATTTGTATATGAAATAAATATTTTCCAAAACACGTTTTACTCTAAAACTTCAAGAAAATCAAAGCCATAAATCTAAAGAAGTTGTGTTCCAAATTTGACTTAAAATGAGCTTTTAGTAAGATTTCATATGGGCGCAGTACCAAACGTTCCCACTAGATAAAATTACTTTCCCACCCAGAGGAGTACAAATGTAACTTTTTTTCCAGGATCATTTAACTTTTTTTGAATCATGTCAATGATTTTTTTGTGTGTGTGTTCACATAGCAAATGCCAAAAAGAGTGTAGTGTACATATAGATGTACACAGATAACAGACACTTACCGCCCTTTAAGTGCGTTAAATAGTCGAATGCCATCAGCAGGTCCACAGATCTGGATGACATCCTCTCGGGTCAGTTTTAGCAGATCGGCACCTGAGGAATGTCAAAGGACAGTTGACACATTCACACTAGGATTTTTCATACTATACTAAAGGTAATATGGAATAAAGAGGCATATTGCATCTTTCTGAACACATTATGATGAGAGAATGAGATTGGAGAGCATGTGTTATCTGAATGAGAGTGATGTAAAGACCGGTGTGGCACTGTATGGTTGCTGAGTGAGCAAAGCCTGATGTGAGAGCTGTATGGAATGTGATGCACACTTATGTAAGCCCGATCGTCCCTTTACCCGAGAAGTTTGAGAAGAGACGGCAGAATGGCGAAAAACGGTTTCTATGGAGCCACTGCTGTGCTTCCTGTGGCGTTGCCGTGGGCAACAGATTCTGTTTGTTCGGGGGCAAAGAGAAAGGACAAAATAGGCCTTAGCACACTGACCATAATCTGATCATAATTTGTCTGTTTTTCCATTGAACAATCTCTCCACTGAAGTCAGACACACCCCCTTAAACTGTCTGGCCTTAGTTGAACCCACTTCAAATGTTCTTCTATACGAGTTCATCAACAGATTTAGTAACTTAAAATCCTTTGTACACAACCATGTTTTCCCTTTGGCAAATAAACATTTCAACATATTCATATAAGCAAATAAATTCATGTACCTGATTGCTTTCACTGTCTCTTGTAAGTAGGTGGCACGACAACTGTAAGGCAGAACGGTCTCTCAGTTTTAAAATCTCAGATTTGTCTGGAGTGTTATTATCTTGTTATGAGGAACTATGTGTTGACTAACGGGGCTTATATGTTACGTACGAAACAAAAAAACAATGGGCTAAAACCTCACATAACATCAGCCTATAAACGAATGCAAAAATTATGTAATGAGTCATTTTAAAAGTCTATTAGTTACAACAATCAATCAAATCAAACCAATCAATTATTGATTGTACAGATCAACCCGTACAAGTACGTTTACATCCAATTTGGTGTCTGTATATACACTACTGTTCAAAAATTTGGGATAGGCAAGATTTTTTTTTTAAAGAAGTCTCTTATGTTCACCAAGAATGCATTTATTTCATCAAAAATACAGTAGAAGTTATAATAATAATTTCTATTTTAATATATTTTAAAATTATTTATTCCTGTGATGCAAAGCTGAATTTTCAGCATAATTGCTCCAGTCTTCAGTGTCACATGATCCTTCAGAAAACATTATAATACGCTGATTTGCTGCTCAAGAAACATTTATTATAATGATCAATGTTGAAAACACTTGTGCTGCTTAAATATTTTGTGGAAACCATAATACTTTTTTGTCAAGATTCTTTGATGAAAAGAAAGATATACAAATCCTTCGTAACATTATAAATGTATTTACCAGCACTTTTGATCAATGTAAGGCATCCTTGATGAATAAATGTATTCATTTCTTTAAAAAAGAAAATCCTACTAAGCCCAAACCAAACAGCAGTGCATATATTATTTATATATATAAAAAAATAATATATATATATATATATATATATATATATATATATATATATATATATATATATATATATATATATATATATATATATATATACATAGGGGCTGGGCAATATGACATATATACTGTGCAATGGTTAAATAATGTCATGTCATGGTTCATATGTGGAAAGCTTAAATTCCCCACAACTAAAAAATAAAAATAAAATGGAAAAAAAGTACATTAGTATTTAATCTACTGGATTAAAAAGTATTTTACTTGTGTATATATATATAAAGTATATTTATAAACAAATACAAAATATATTTAAAAAAATATCAAATTTCCAGCAGAAAAACTAGATGTAACATTTTGGTCATGCTGCCCACCCCTATGCTGTATTATATAGTTCAACAAAAAAAAAGCTACAAGGGCCAATACAGCCTATGAAATGTGCTAATGAACATGCAAAAGCAACACAAAAAAGCATTTTACAGGAATGATAATAGCAGCTGCAACAATATGAATGAAAACAAAGGGTTTTTGATGCACTATTGCAGTTCTCCTGACACTCTTAAATGTACATGGAAGCATGGAGCATGCCACACACACACTATACTGAAGATAAGCTATTGACCATTCCATTCCCAAAACAGCTCAACTACTTGACTAGTAAAGATGGTATGATCAGTTATGAATTAATGCTTGTTCAATCATAATATATCATTCAAATGAGAGCATGTAGTATGCAGAAATGTTGTAAGAGAAGAAACACACAAGAGAACACTGGGATGAATCAATCAAAGACTAAGTCTCAGTCAAAGTGCTACGCAGTTTGCTTATCATATCTCAATGAACATATGGACAGAATGTCACTAGAAACGTTTAATGAATGTTACATTATGCCATTGAGAGCAGTGGATCTCACATATGAGAGAAGATGGGTGAAGAGAACAGATACACACTCACATCTGCTAACTGTACGACAGGCTCTGGCTGGTGATTGGGTGAACCATTTCTGCAAGACAAAACCATAAGCCATTAGATGGCCACACATGAAAGTAAATCAATGCATGTTATTCCAAGGAAGACAAATGTCTCCTTGGCCAATATAACAATATATAATAAATTGTTCTTTTTTTTTATTCAGTATCCTTTTTTGCTCAGTTATATGTCATATTACTGAAGTAAAATGGTTTATTAGCAATGCATTTTCTATGCAAGTTTTGTCTAAATTGACTAAGGATTGACTATAAAGCTCACAAAAAGACGATCAATGTTTCCTACCCTTCATTCACAGAAAAGCTGTTGTGGGAGCTATTGAAACCTGGTGATGGGGAGTTGTTGACATATGTAGCCTCAGGCCATGGAGAGCACTGGATATACACACAAAAAAACAATATCATGAAAATATTGAACGAGAAAGGGATGAAGGAAATGGGTATAAAGATGTAAAATTAACAGATTAATAACTTTATCTTATTATATAATAACATGTGGACATTTTTTCTTTGGAGACATTTGCAGTTGGAAAAAGGTAATGAATTTCAATAAGTTATTGCAATAGTCAGCAAATCGCAAAATGTTAAAAAACTGCAATAATATTGTATTGTGGAGGTCTTTGGTGATTCCCACCCCCCTTCAGAACTGCCTTAATTCTTCGTGGCAAAAATTCGACAAGTTGCTGGAAACATTCCTCGGAGATTTTGGCCCATATTGACATGATAGAATCACGTAGTTGCTGCAAATTTGTCCCGTTCCACCACATCCCAAAGTTGCTTTGTTGGATTGAGATCTGGTGATTGTGGAGGCCATTTGAGTATACTGTATAGTGAACTTATAGTGAAATTCGTTATGTTTAAGAAACCAGTTTGAGATGATTTGAGTTTTGTGATATGGCATGTGTTGCGAGCAGGGTGGGGCCGAGGGCCGTGAGAGAATGGTGCGAGGCCGGTGGCGTGTTTGATAAGTGACACCTGCACGCTGCACAGGTCACATTTCTCTTACAGAGGAGCTACGAAAGCATAAAAGGAGGAGCGACGACAGTGAAGGATGACAGAGGACCAGGCCTGGACTTTTATGTTATGTTTTGTTTATGTGTGTGTGGCGCCTTTACTTCCATTTTGTTGTTTGTTTATTTTATGATTATTAAAGTTTGTTAAATGTTCACCGGTTCTCGCCTCCTCCTTCCCATAACAACATACTTCGTTACAGCGCGTTATCCTGCTGAAAGTAGCCATCAGAAGGATGGCTACTTTCTGTGGTCATATGGTCATAAAGGGATGGACATGGCCAGCAACAATACTCAAGAAAATATCCCCCAAACCATTACACCACCAGCAGCCTGAACCCTTGATACAAGGCAGGATAAATCCATGCTTTTGGTGTTTACACCAAATTCTGACTCTACCATCTGAATGTCGCATTAGAAATTGAGACTCATCAGACCAGGCAATATATTTCCAATCTTCTATTGTCCAATTTTGGTGAGCCCGTGCGAATTGTGGCCTCAGTTTGCTGTTCTTATCTGACAGGAGTGGCACCAGTGTGTCTTCTGCTGCTGTAGCTCATCTGCTTCAAGGTTCGACGTGTTGTGTGTTCAGAGAGGCTCTTCTGTCCACCTCGATTGTAACGAGTGGATATCTGAGTTACTTGATGCGTTGCAATTCGCATACTATTCATCCTAAATAGTATTTGAAATTAGAATTTGTGTGTCCCAAAATCGTAGTATGTTGAAATGAGTTTTCCAAAGAGACCCTGATGGTCTACTTTTTCCGGTTTAGAATACAATCCAAGCACACTCTAATGTCTTATATTGCCCACAACACATTGCACTTTGGGCAAGGTTTCGATTAGAACTACAAACACAAATAAAAAGTGTTTTAAAAAAAACACAAACATGGCAAATGTGTGAGCCCGATGGTTAAGTAGAGAGGTTTAGATAAAGGGGTTTGAGTGATTAACAATCAGTATCTATCTAACCTGATGAAAATATATTGTTATTGTTAACATTGAATATATTCAATGTTATCCACATTATATTTCATCAGCAACAGCATCTTGAACTTTTGTAAATATATGTTTGGTTATTAACTTTTAAATGCATCATTATGTAAATTGCAAACACATGAGGACAGTCTCCGCATGAAAGAACCATGACTGACAGATCAACGTGCTACTACATTTCTCTCCGAAACTGTAGGAAATTAAATTGAATGTGGAGGATTTTAAGTGTGACAAGATGATTGACAGGGCAGTTTACAGCTGCAGTCCGCAGTTTTTCCTCTTTGTCGCCATCTCTGTTCAAAATCTGCAATATCAGTAATTCACGGAATTATCAACTTTACGTGAGTTGTACCTCGGCACGGCCCAGCGCAGAGGAATCCAATGTTTTGAGGAGAATGTGCGGCTGTCAATCACCGTGCGGTGTGGATACTGTCATTCGCAATCACAGATTCTACTTTTTGGAAGTATGACCAACATAAGAATTTTCACCCTAAAATGCCATCTGAACAAGTAAGAAACATCCACTTTTCTAATTTGTTAACATCAGCATTGCGTGACTACATTTACAGCCCTTCAGATATTTATCCTTGTTTTCGCATGCCCGGTTGCCGTCTCTTTTTCCAAACTCTCAGTCCAAAGTCTTTTGCATTTTACAACGGGTGAATCTCTAGTTGTCACTGGTGATTGTCGTTTGAAACTTTCTGGATCCGCCATCAAATTAATAAGTTTAATTATATCAAGTGCTGTGAGAAAAGGCTATAAATCTCCACCTCCAGCATCCTCACTCGCAATATAGCCTACTAGCCGAGACTCCTTCTTTATGTGTACAGATGTGACGTAATGACTCAATATAGCCTACTAGCCGAGACTCCTTCTTTATGTGTACAGATGTGACGTCATGACTCAATATAGCCTACTAGCCGAGACTCCTTCTTTATGTGTACAGATGTGACGTCATGACTCAATATAGCCTACTAGCCGAGACTCCTTCTTTATGTGTACAGATGTGACGTAATGACTCAATATAGTCTACTAGCCGAGACTCCTTCTTTATGTGTACAGATGTGACGTCATGACTCAATATAGCCTACTAGCCGAGACTCCTCCTTTATGTGTACAGATGTGACGTCATGACTCAATTTAGCCTACTAGCCGAGACTCCTTTATGTGTACAGATGTGACGTCATGACTCAATATAGCCTACTAGCCGAGACTCCTCCTTTATGTGTACAGATGTGACGTCATGACTCAATATAGCCTACTAGCCGAGACTCCTCCTTTATGTGTACAGATGTGACGTCATGACTCAATATAGCCTACTAGCCGAGACTCCTTCTTTATGTGTACAGATGTGACGTCATGACTCAATATAGTCTACTAGCCGAGACTCCTTCTTTATGTGTACAGATGTGACGTCATGACTCAATATAGCCTACTAGCCGAGACTCCTTCTTTATGTGTGCAGATGTGACGTCATGACTCAATATAGCCTACTAGCCGAGACTCCTCCTTTATGTGTGCAGATGTGACGTCATGACTCAATATAGCCTACTAGCCGAGACTCCTCCTTTATGTGTACAGATGTGACGTCATGACTCAATATAGCCTACTAGCCGAGACTCCTCCTTTATGTGTACAGATGTGACGTCATGACTCAATATAGCCTACTAGCCGAGACTCCTCCTTTATGTGTACAGATGTGACGTCATGACTCAATATAGCCTACTAGCCGAGACTCCTCCTTTATGTGTACAGATGTGACGTCATGACTCAATATAGCCTACTAGCCGAGACTCCTCCTTTATGTGTACAGATGTGACGTCATGACTCAATATAGCCTACTAGCCGAGACTCCTTCTTTATGTGTACAGATGTGACGTCATGACTCAATATAGTCTACTAGCCGAGACTCCTTCTTTATGTGTACAGATGTGACGTCATGACTCAATATAGCCTACTAGCCGAGACTCCTTCTTTATGTGTGCAGATGTGACGTCATGACTCAATATAGCCTACTAGCCGAGACTCCTCCTTTATGGGTACAGATGTGACGTCATGACTCAATATAGCCTACTAGCCGAGACTCCTTCTTTATGTGTGCAGATGTGACGTCATGACTCAATATAGTCTACTAGCCGAGACTCCTCCTTTATGTGTACAGATGTGACGTCATGACTCAATATAGCCTACTAGCCGAGACTCCTTCTTTATGTGTACAGATGTGACGTCATGACTCAATATAGCCTACTAGCCGAGACTCCTTCTTTATGTGTACAGATGTGACGTCATGACTCAATATAGCCTACTAGCCGAGACTCCTTCTTTATGTGTGCAGATGTGACGTCATGACTCAATATAGCCTACTAGCCGAGACTCCTTCTTTATGTGTACAGATGTGACGTCATGACTCAATATAGCCTACTAGCCGAGACTCCTTCTTTATGTGTACAGATGTGACGTAATGACTCAATATAGTCTACTAGCCGAGACTCCTTCTTTATGTGTACAGATGTGACGTCATGACTCAATATAGCCTACTAGCCGAGACTCCTTCTTTATGTGTACAGATGTGACGTCATGACTCAATATAGCCTACTAGCCGAGACTCCTCCTTTATGTGTACAGATGTGACGTCATGACTCAATTTAGCCTACTAGCCGAGACTCCTTTATGTGTACAGATGTGACGTCATGACTCAATATAGCCTACTAGCCGAGACTCCTCCTTTATGTGTACAGATGTGACGTCATGACTCAATATAGCCTACTAGCCGAGACTCCTCCTTTATGTGTACAGATGTGACGTCATGACTCAATATAGCCTACTAGCCGAGACTCCTTCTTTATGTGTACAGATGTGACGTCATGACTCAATATAGTCTACTAGCCGAGACTCCTTCTTTATGTGTACAGATGTGACGTCATGACTCAATATAGCCTACTAGCCGAGACTCCTTCTTTATGTGTGCAGATGTGACGTCATGACTCAATATAGCCTACTAGCCGAGACTCCTCCTTTATGTGTGCAGATGTGACGTCATGACTCAATATAGCCTACTAGCCGAGACTCCTCCTTTATGTGTACAGATGTGACGTCATGACTCAATATAGCCTACTAGCCGAGACTCCTCCTTTATGTGTACAGATGTGACGTCATGACTCAATATAGCCTACTAGCCGAGACTCCTTCTTTATGTGTGCAGATGTGACGTCATGACTCAATATAGCCTACTAGCCGAGACTCCTCCTTTATGTGTGCAGATGTGACGTCATGACTCAATATAGCCTACTAGCCGAGACTCCTCCTTTATGTGTACAGATGTGACGTCATGACTCAATATAGCCTACTAGCCGAGACTCCTTCTTTATGTGTACAGATGTGACGTCATGACTCAATATAGCCTACTAGCCGAGACTCCTCCTTTATGTGTACAGATGTGACGTCATGACTCAATATAGCCTACTAGCCGAGACTCCTCCTTTATGTGTACAGATGTGACGTCATGACTCAATATAGCCTACTAGCCGAGACTCCTTCTTTATGTGTACAGATGTGACGTCATGACTCAATATAGTCTACTAGCCGAGACTCCTTCTTTATGTGTACAGATGTGACGTCATGACTCAATATAGCCTACTAGCCGAGACTCCTTCTTTATGTGTGCAGATGTGACGTCATGACTCAATATAGCCTACTAGCCGAGACTCCTTCTTTATGTGTGCAGATGTGACGTCATGACTCAATATAGCCTACTAGCCGAGACTCCTTCTTTATGTGTGCAGATGTGACGTCATGACTCAATATAGTCTACTAGCCGAGACTCCTTCTTTATGTGTACAGATGTGACGTCATGACTCAATATAGTCTACTAGCCGAGACTCCTTCTTTATGTGTACAGATGTGACGTCATGACTCAATATAGCCTACTAGCCGAGACTCCTTCTTTATGTGTACAGATGTGACGTCATGACTCAATATAGTCTACTAGCCGAGACTCCTTCTTTATGTGTACAGATGTGACGTCATGACTCAATATAGCCTACTAGCCGAGACTCCTTCTTTATGTGTACAGATGTGACGTCATGACTCAATATAGCCTACTAGCCGAGACTCCTTCTTTATGTGTACAGATGTGACGTCATGACGCAATATAGCCTACTAGCCGAGACTCCTTCTTTATGTGTACAGATGTGACGTCATGACTCAATATAGCCTACTAGCCGAGACTCCTTCTTTATGTGTACAGATGTGACGTCATGACGCAATATAGCCTACTAGCCGAGACTCCTTCTTTATGTGTACAGATGTGACGTCATGACGCAAAGACATGCTGGAATTTCCCGCGGAAATCCACCAGTACCACTAAAATTAAAAACATTATTATAAGCTTACCGTTTTGAATCGAGCTAAGGCAAGCAGATAGTTTTGAACACTGGCTGGTTATGTACTTGCTCAAATTTATTTTGGATAATTTTTAACCCAAAAAAGTTACGGACTGGGGCTTTAAACAGTGACAGGATGCATGCAACTCAGCGTCAGAGCTGTCCGTTAAAGACGCAATAATGACGAAGTATTGTGTCCCAAAGCTTGCCTACTCTTCTGCTACACACTCAAAAGTACTTTTTCTTCACAAAAACAGTACGAACTAGTCTGGCCATTCTCCTCCAACCTCTGGCATAAACAAGTCATTTTCATGCGATTGATTGGCTGATTATATATTTGCATTAACGAACAGTCGAATAGGTGTAGCTAATAAAATTGCTGGTGAGTGTATTAATTTATCTCTAGCTATTAGAGACAAATTCAATAATTTCATTAATACATATTATAATTAAACAATCATTATAATATTATTAAATTAAAATCTGTAATATTAGAGAGACAAATTTATTTAAATTTAAATATTCATGAAAACCTATGCTTTCCAAGGCAGCAGATACACACCTCAGTGAGAATTGTGGTTTCATATGAAGGCTGGTATTTCTCCTTTTCCTGCGGTGCTCGTTTCTCCATTTTTTCTCGGTCTGTTTTCTGCTTTCTGTCAGCACCTTTAGGCTAAACACAAAAAATACCAAGTATTTCCATTGATTTTTTTAGGAAGATCCTGTTTCCGTAGTAAGGTTACACAAAAATGATGCTGCACTGGTGTCACATTGTAATTGTTTATCAGCGCAGGCCTCAGCCCACCTTAAAAACTTTGATTTGGCAGCTGGCGGAGTGCTGGTGCTCAGTGTACTCCCCGGCCTCGTTCTCCTTGAAAGTGTCGATTTGAACACGGAACGGCACTCCCTTCTCTCCTCCATGCTTACGCATGGTGAACTCTGTGCTGATACAATGGACCTAAACAAGCAGGAAAATAATGAGTAACAGTGAATAATATTTAAAAAACATTTTTGAAAATTGTCAAAAAATAAAATAAATTGTCCACAGCATACAATTAAAGTCAATGGGATGCAGTGTTGCTTTGGACCATACAAACTCCCATTGTATGTTTATAAACTGCTGAAAAGTTCTACAGAAAGAAAGTAAGTCATGCAGGTTTGGAATGTCATGAGGGTGAGTAAATGATGACAGAATTTTAATTTTTTTAAGTGAACTATCCCTTAAGATGGTTAAAATCCATCCTAATAAGGAAGTCTAAGTTCAATTGGTTAAAGTACATAGATTGTGTATGGATGGCTAAATAAAATAAAAAAGACACAGATCAAACCTCATCTTTGGATTTTTAAGGCTCCACTGACAGTGTCTGGGAGAGTTGTTCTTGAGGTCAGCAAAAGCAGTCTATGATACCTGAATAAACACAGAGGTCCTTTTCGAGGGGTCCCAGAGGAACTCCACAGTGTTGAGCTGTGTAGGGTTTGCCCTGGGATCGACCACCCCTACCGACATTGGGATATCTGTAGATTTCAGTGCAAGCATGTTATTAATGTATAATAAATTCCTACATATCCACAACATTGATATATTGGTAGTTAATTTATATTTGAGTGACAATTACTCACAATCTGTTTATTATTATCTTACTGGGAAGTGGTTATAATCTTATCTTTCACTTTCTGTGAAGTCATCGGTTACAGTATTTACCTAAATCAAGGATTCTGTCTCCCGGTCTATTCCAGCGCCAGCCCTCTAGCTGCTGGTGTTCAGTGTACTGAAGCCGGCGGTCGTGAAACACGACGCGGATAATACTCTGCAGGGAGTAACCACACGGAAAATAACAGTTGAGATCAACCACAGATAGTCACAAGAAACACATATGATTCATCAGGTCCTCTTCTGATATAATACAGTGAGATTAACCTGAACACTTAAAGGATTTTCAACAGCTAATGAGATCCAGCCTTGATGCGAGTATAATCCTGTATGTGGGAAGCATGAATTATGGGGGATAAGAAAGAACAGACAGCAAATCCTCACCTTTACCATTTTCCCATTTATCTCAGGAAGCTCTCCAATTTTCCGATTGTCCAGCATTCGAATCTCATAAGACTGTCCTGCAGCCGGTGGGAAAAAGTTTATAGCAATACCAGTAAAACCAGTTTACATCTCTTGTTACTCTGCTTTTTATGCTTCCCTCTGTATAAAGAATTGAATAGTTTATGGAAACATTGGATCATAATTTAAGGTTGGAAGCTCTTACATATCATGCATGAAAGAAATAACAAATAAATAATTTGACTTAAACAGAACAGTTTAACCAAAGATTAATCAATTCTGTAACAAATGTATGTATCACTCACTGTTAGTTAATGCTTTAACTAACATTAACTAATTGACCTTACTGTAAAGTGTAACCAAAAAAAATCTTACTGACCCCAAATTTTTCAACAGTAATGTATTTTCCAAGTCTCCAGAGGAACTAGCTCTTTAATCTTTTAATTTGTTTGTTTTAATAAACTATTAAGAATTTTAGAATTGTATAAGTTCTGTGTATTAACAGATTTATATTGACAACCTAAAGCTATTTCAAACATATCAGAATTGAAGGAAAGTTCTGACAATCTTCAGCAAGTGTTGCTGAACAGACCTTGATTGAGGTAGGTGAGTGTCTCATCGTGTAGCTTGACAGCAGGAGAGGTGGCGGCACACAGAACGTACTGGAAGGGAAGGATCTTATTGTCGCTTTCTGGAGGTAAATTTGACTCCTCCTGCTTAAAGATGGGGAGAGCTAGCACATCACTAAAAAACAGCAAGAAAAGGGGGAAAAAATTGACAAATTTATAGATTTGGACATTTCAGACAAGCCCAAGAAGCACATTTCTAATGCTATTTAAACATCTGAGAGCAAATCATCACAGATGGCAGAGCAGGACTGGAACATGTGGTTTATAGCAGACCGCTACTTCGTTACCTGGAGACCAGATCATGAGGCTAGCCGCTAGACAGTGCATCTTTCTACCTCACAACAGGGCAATCCATTTTACTTTAACCATTTAAATCAAAGAAAAAATTGTACTTTTATTTTACATGTGATTTGTCAGTTTGTCTCTCCATGGTAAAAAAAAACACTTGAAACCCCAAATGTGGGATAAAACACCTCATCAAAGCATACACACGATAACCTCGCCACAAATAGACCTGTAGTTTTCTAAATGGTTAATTTTCTGCACATAAGTCATGTAAGAGAACACAAGATATTTATAGACCTTTATAGAAGGTCAGATGCATTCATCATGACATTTTAAACAGCCTGGAGTGACATGTGAACAGTAGAAGTTGTTGGAATAGACATAGTAGGCAAGTAAAATAGATTAAACAACACTCTGAATAAGATAAAAACACATAACAGCTGAATATACAGTATTTTAAAGAGCTTCAATTCAACAAAAATTACATTTATCAAACCATACAGGTCTCAGGAGGACACACCAAAAACAATCTAAGCATCCCTAAACAAACTCACCTCATGCTGTATGCACCAGCTCCAAGTTCTTGCCCGATCCCTGACAGACTGGCATCAAAGTCCTGGACCAGACCAGACTCAATCACCTCATCGGCCAGAGGTAGTTTTAGAGCCCAAGCCATGACTTTAGACCTCCAATTCAAGTGAACTAAGGAACAAATGAATCACAGTCCTGACAGTCTCCCTTTAGGTTTAGGGATGATCACAGACGCCTGTCTAAAGAAACAAAGGGGGCAAATGGATTACGTGGGTCATATATTAAGTTGTATTATATGGTAAAAAAAAAAAAAAAAATCATTCTGACCTGAAAAATAAGTTGTTTACAAGTTCAAGAAAAATCTTTTAAGTATTATTTATTATTACTAGATCAAATATAACGCTTAAGACAGAACATTGCATCACAAATCCCCAAAATGACTAACGTTAAATTCAGAAGTAACGTTAAGTTACTAACAAACCCTACACATGACGAACACATAACGTTATTACATTAAACAAGTCAGTTGGCGGGAAAAACGTATCGTATAAAGATATCGTAAATAATAAAATGTTTGCTGTATCATATATGGCATTGTAAGCGTGTAAATTACCTCTGACAGCAGTCAGATAAAGAATGTAGTAAAGCTCATCGTTTCACGCCATTTTCCCACCCATCGTCCTTCTTTTGGCAAGACAACTTCGTTTTGCTCGAAAGAAGACAGATTAATTTCCTTCACCGGTCGCTCTAAAAAGTGACGACGCTGCAAACAATTCGAAGATAATTTATCAGGTTGAGTTTTGTTTGAATAAATGTCTTATGTATAATATAACATGTTTGTTTATCTCTTCTACTCTGTAGAAATTGCCGTAATATCCGCAGTACTCTCCCTCACTAACGGCTGGAACATCGAACGGCTCAAGAGCATTAGCGGCCTCAATCGCCCTGGAGGTGCATTGCAACATAGTATACTATGGCCTTTCTACCCATGTTTCTACCTGTCTATGCTTTCTACGCGTGTTTTTCTAATCGAAATTTATAATGAAGGAATATAGTGCAAACACGAAACAAAACATTTAATAAAGTAATATTTAAAAAGTAAGTAATACAATAGATAAGATAAGACACTTTATAGTGATAAAACATTAGGCTAGGAAGGAACCCTGTGGACTAATAAGTAGAAATAATAAGTGATATGAGCTTTATATACAGCAGATGCCATTGAAAACACGGTCTATCCCTCACAGCCTCGCTTTCACACCTGTGCTGCAATAAATACGGTCTATTAAAAGTAGCTATAAACAAAAAAGTACCTAAATGTTTTGCCTCAAAATACAGCAGTTGTTACATCCATCCATCAATCAATCAATCAATAAAAAAACCCAAATCATTCGGAAAGCTTCATACACTTTTTTGAAGATACCACACTTACTACGACTTTAGAGAAGGATAATAAGCATTGATGATATTTTGGTAGAAAATATGGTTACCATGGCAATGGCAAATTTTTTTTTTTTTACTTAGTAACAAATAACCATGCTATTTTAAGGCCACAGACCATAAATAATACCATGTTTTGCTGCATTATTATCATGCTTTCTATCAATGTTATTTGTAAAATAATTATAATAAATAATGTCTATTATATGTTCTGAGAAATAATTTTGGAACTTTGTAGTCTGAGTGACTGGCAAAATGTCAAAAGGCATTTACCAAGATATCAAAATCAAATACAACAAATCTGTTTAGCGTTAATTTATTCAAATAACAAGTTAATACCAAACATTACAATTGATACAAAATAAATATAGTTAATGGAGTACCATACCATTGTTTATAATCTGTAAATGCATTTAGGCATCATTTTAAAAACGGTAAGTTCTGCACAGATTCAAATGCTGAACAGATACTGCCTTTTTACATGTTTAGTCTATGTTTATAGCATTTGTTAAAACATTGTCTAATACCATTCCTTCTTCACAACATTAAAATGTAAATGTATGGTATTGTACCAATCAAGATAAGAATCCATTAGATAAATATTGAAGGTCCATAAGAACAATATAGCTTTATGCTTAGAACAAACATGTGAAACATGTTACAACACACTTCTGTCTGGGCTGTTTTACTAAATGGGAAAATATTCATATCACCTGTGAATATGGGAGTACAAATGAGAGCACAATTCAAATTCATTAATGATTAATTGCATTTGTGATAATAATATTTTGTAACTTTTTTTAATGGCTCATCGATCAACAATAAAAAAAAAAAACTTCAGCGTTTCAGTTGTTTCTTAAGTGCCTCATATAGGTATAGATGAAAGTTTATCTTCAATATCACCTCCTAATATTAAGATTTGCCTTCTGGTTATGACAAAAACAGTAAAATCCATAGGACATGTTCTAGTAAATCAGTCATTGTAATCTTTGATATAGTTGGTTTTCTATTTAAAACAGTTGAAATCATACAATTCTCTGGCATATGAAATTACAATGATAGCTGAAATGGAAAAATTGGATTTAGCCACATAAATGCAGGGCATGCTTTCTGATTCAGAGAACTATGATTGTCCACTTGACTGAACCACATCTACAGTATTTAAGCACAAAGACAGGGTAATCACTGTACTCATGAAAACTGAAATAAAGACCTGAATACACCCTCTTAGATGGACTTTTTGGAAGGTTTAAGATAACCAAAAAACAATTATCTGTCTCAGGCATTGTACAATCACACAGCTTACAGCAAAACTACAAGAACACATGAATAATAATAAAATATCAGTCAAATTATTAAATAGCCTCTTAAATGTACTATATGTAGTCAAAAGCCATATTGCTACAGCGAAAAAGAATTTTAACGGTCAAAAATATTGTTAGTTTCTGAAAAAAATGGGGGAAAAAACAGAACAAAAAAAAAAACTAAATGAAAGCATATTTTGCAAGCTTTCTCTATTATGTATTAATGAAGTGCTTATTTTTAAAAACAGCAACTACAGGATCTTGTAGCTTCGTCCATATTTTAAATAGTTCAAAAGCCATTTAGCACTGAAAAGTGTGATGGCATGGCAAAAGGTCACTCTGCATGCAGTATAACGGAAACAAAAAAACAACAGAAAGAGTATGTTTGATACTATTCTAAGACCGCACACAATTCGCGTGCCGCTGGCTTCATCGCAACAGCAAATCAGTTGTTTCAGTCATTTTGCAACTAGCACCAATACATCAACGTCCAAAAAGTTCATATGTTGCTCTTTAAGAGATACGTCATTGTCCTACTGGGCCTGAAACACGTTGATCTTGCTTGTATTTTTAAGAGTCTGTCGACGGTTACAAAACCAGACCCGAACCACCTCTCGGTCGTAATTCAGCTCCTTTGCGATCTCTGTAATCTCTTGGCCAGTCGGAAGGGAGTTTTTCTCAAAGTAAGTGTTGAGGACCTCAATGGCCTGCGGCGTGAAGCTCGTTCTCCGTTTGCGCTTCTTGGAGGGTTCTCCGCCCACAAACTCCATTAAGTTCTGCTGACCTTTCTGATTCCAGAGTTCAGCCTCTGCCAGCCAGCGCTCCAGCACAGGCTTCAGCTTCTGGGCACTTTTAGGAGTGATGTCAAGCTTCTCAAATCTTTAAACAAGAGGCAATGCGTCAACACACAAGACACTGGAGTGAAAAGTGAATCTTTCCGGCACTTATATTTGATTATTACAGACTTTATGTAGAATGTAAAAAGTAATTTATATGAATGAAACTTACAAATACAATACAAAATAATTGTATATAACGAAATACCAATTATTTGTCTCAGGAGATAAACAATTACATAGCTTAAAGTTGACTGCAAAACATTATACAAAATATTATATAATTTTATACATGTATATAAGTGTAAATATAAGGAAGAACCCAGCAGTATTTCACTGTTTTTTCCCCTCTTTTGTTATGGCACTATTTACACAACAAACAGATCAGGAGTAGTTCAATCATTTCTATGCCGACTTCTAAAGACACGTAAAGAAACAAAGAGAAGATATAAAAGAGAATAACCTGCAGATGGCTGACTGACTGTAGGCAGGACCCTCTGTAGCAGTGAGAGCCTGGCCAACTTGAGTCTGTGTCAACCCCAGAGAGAGCCGTCGAATCTTAAAATTCTTGGCAAACTCCCGAATCTCCTCCAGATTAATGGCCTCTTCTTCATTCACAGCAGACTGTGGCTCTAACGAAAAGAAAAATTGAATTAGGACTTCTGGATGCTGTCCAGATCATAAACAACATGAGTAATTTACCCATGAGTCACTGAAACATCATTTTTCAAAACTGAAATCTGATCTAAACAACCTTAAAGAATTGCTCCTATTCAATTATGTGACTGAAGAAGGTTGTAAATGCAATATTGCAAACATAAACGGTAAAGATATACTACTAGTAAAATATAAACCTACTGCTGACAAGCTGCCCCACGGTAGGCATGTCTCCACAGGCGATGGCACCGGTAGAGGTGAGGGATGTGACTGATTTAACCACTTGTGGCTGGGGAGCAATGATGACTTTAGATGGGGCCACTTTTCCAATAGGACCCTAGAGAATAAATTACAGCCAATCAACAAATATGACAATCATTTTACAAATATTTCACATGATCTGAGTTCATTGCTATTAATTTGTAGAGTGCTCTGGGTGGAAGGCATTGCTAAATGGATGCTAGGGCAATCAGCTCATTGGAAAAGCGTTTCTGTGGCGAAAGTTCTGCAAAAAGATATTACGTTGCTTCTTGCTTGTTTTGTGACACTTTCAAACTGGCACTAAAAGCGTGTACAGTTTGCTCCATTGCGTATGAAAACAACGTACCACCTAAACTAAACCTAATCGATATTGCTAATAAAAGCAAACTTGAGATAAAAACGCATTTGCTGAAGCAACCATGCTATTTTAATATGCTTCTACAAGTCTTTGAGTTCTTTAAAAGTGACTCAAGGGACTCATGTCTGAGAGTTTACAAATCATGTGCTAAGGTAAAAGTATTTTGAGCTCATAGTATTGTGCAATGAACCGTGCGAAAATAAGTCTCTATTAATATATAATTTGCTCTTATTCTTAATTTTTGTGAACCGGAATAAAAGTTTTTGGTGTTTTACTGCCACTAGTGTTCATTTCAGCTGGACACTGCACAGAACTGTATATATAGGTACGTTTTCCAAATATGCAGGTAGAGGCACGTGTTCCAATGAGCCTTGGCATGCTAGGGAATCACTAGGGTATTCTGAGTGGTTTCTTACTCATCCAATTAAACAAAAAAAAGATATACTAATGCTTAGAAAGTACAAAATTGGAACACACACTACACAAAATGTTTATTATCATTTATAGACCAATGAAAAGCCATTGTGGCTGGCACTATAGTACCTGCGTGGTAGTTTTGGTAAGTGTCAAGGGCACAGTGGATTTGGGGAGGACGGAGGCTGCAGATGGGGCAACCGCTGTTGGACTGTTCCCTATCGTAGCAATGATCTGGCCCTGGGAGTTCAAAATCAGCTGTGGGGACATGGTCTGGACCTGCAGGCCTTGAGCGGGTAACGCAGAGGCTGCCGCAGCTCCAGCCAGTGATGCAGGGTTGACCAGCAGAGGAAGTGTTCCTATCACCTAAAACACAGGTATGAAACTAATGAGACTGGTATGTAAAAATGTTCATTGTGTAAGAGTATACTGTGAATTATACTGAGCATTTAAATGTAGCACTAACCTGGCCCTGTGCGTTGGTAATGAGTTGACTTGTGAGTCCTGCCACATTAGACATGGCGCTGGTGAAGATGGGAGTTGTAGTAAGAGAGCTGATGAACTGAGGCTGAGCTCCCAGAGAGGCTGCGCTAATCTGGAAAAAAACAAAACAACTCCTGATTAGATTTATATAAA